CTTTGCTCCCGGTGCCTCTGGTCTGCTGGGGACCGTCTCCAGCAGACCAGGGACACCGGGAGCAAAGCCTCTGAGGATGCCCGGAAGCGGGACAGCCCCGGCGCGCCTGGGCTGCCCTGCCGCCGGAGCCCCTCCGCAGCTTTGCAAAGCCTCGGGGGAAGCCGGTGGCGGGGCATCCCAGGTGCGCCAGAGCTGCCCCGCCGCCGGCTTCCCCTGAGGCTTTGCAAAGCCGCATACCCGGCGTATAAGACGACCCCTGATTTTGGGGGATGTTTTTTAACATCAAAAGTCGTCTTATACGCCGGAAAATACGGTATCTTATTACAGAGTGGCTCATAATGGTTTCATTATTTAATGTAGATTAAGAAATCTTGTATAAGAGAAGGCTTTAGAGACTGACAGCAAGGAGATTTTAGTCCTCTATTCCCTTAGGTTTGCAGCAGCTATTACTTTCCAAGATGAACTTGACTGAAGTTTGACATCCTTATTGTTTTCTTTTCAGCTGAAATGAATAGTCAGGTTGAAAGTATAAATGAACTTTCACAAATGCAGCCAGAAGATTAACTAACAGGTAAGTCTCCAGTGACCAGTTTTTCATTGCACCTATGAAGTGCCCTGTAGATTCCATTGAAAAAAGGTCTGTTGTATGAATGGCCCAAAGGTGTCAACATGATCCAATCCCTGTCTAACATTAAACAGTGTTATACAAGGTCTGGGATTTGGTATACGGAGACCTCAGCCTGTTTAGAACCATGACAAGCACACCATTAAAAATCCCTTTAACCTTTTACTAAAGATACAGGAAAGAAGGAAATGCAATTACAGCATTTGAGATGCAAACGCTTACGTAAGGCTTTAATCTTAACAAGATTTCTTGCTCCCTCTCCCTTTAGTTGGAGCATTTAGAAGGAAACACAAACTATTTGTTTGACAGTCCCTTATAAGGTATCCATAATGGCAATCAGGGGAACCAACAGCTTGTGTGGGCCCCTGATGGGGTGAAGGGGGGGAGCAGCACCATGCTCCAGGAAGGGGTGGGGCCTCAGGTGGAAGGGACAGGGGCAGGGCAGACGCCACTCAGTGCCACCTGGAGAATGGTGCTGGATCCCTCCAGACCCCAGAGCCTCCCTTAGCACATGGCCTGGAGCTCTAGCAGCAATTTTAAGGGCTCAGCAGCAACTGCTCCTTTTCCCCCCTCCACCTGTTGGCGGGCCTGATGGGGAAGAAAAGCAGTCGTTAAATGAGACGAGATGGAGCTGCTGCTGTTGTTGTAACTGCTGTTAAAGTCCAATCCCATCGCATCCCAGGTGTCCGCTGGGATTCAGCTGGAGCTGGTAGGAAGCATGATGTCCTCGCGTCCATCTCTCTGGCCCAGCCTGCTCAGGACATCCCTCAGGATTAGGATGAAAAAGGTCCTGCGTGCTACCCAGACAGGTGGAATCCAGGGGTGGGTCTGTACTGGACTGTGACTCGGAAGAAGATATGCAATTTGAGCTAGGCAAATTGCTTATCTTATTTCAATGCTATTTCAAAATAGCTGATTGCATCATTTGGCGCTTTCGACACAGTACTATTCCGAAACGTCCTTTACTCCTCTTAGAATGAGGTTTACAGAGCTGTCGGAATAGCAAGCCCAAAAAAAGGGGCTTGATGTGAAGATGCAGGATAGCTATTTCGGGATACTCTGGTATCCCAAAATAGCATTGCAGTGTAGACGTACCTGCAGGAGAGTAAAACTTGCAGCTTCTGTCTGTTCTTCTATATTCTCCCCACAGTCTCTTTCCTTCAGGACCCAAAAAGGGAGTGGTGGATAGAACTGCTCATGCACTTCTTATTTTGTCTGCCAATTTGGCTATTACTGGGCACTATTTTTGGTTCATTAATTTCCAGTTCTGCATCTTCTGTTTCTACCAAGAATTATTTTAAGATAGTCCTTTAATGACATCATTAGATCCTTTCATTTAGTTTTTCTGTCTCCTTTTCATACCTTTTCCCATCAACATTTATTATTGTGACTTGTTATAAACTTTTGCATGTTTTTACAGTTGAGCTCACAATTGGTAAATGTTTAGACCCGATTATTACAACAGCTCTAATTACTGGTATTAGAATTAGGGTGATCAGCTGTCCTGGTATTATCAGGATCATCTGATATTAGGGACTCTTTCTTACATAAGCAACTATTACACTCTTCCTCTCACTGCCCCAAAAAGTTTCCCAATTTTTCACACTTGCTATCTGGTCACCCTAATTAGAATATACAGCTTTGGGAAAAGAAACATGAGGGGTGGGGAGTATTAATTATGTGACATTAATTATCACATAAATAATACAATAGCATTCTGCAACTGTAATATCTTGAGACTGTATAT